TTTTATGTTGAGTTTTGTCAGAGATGGGTATTCCATTGCCATCCAAATATTGTAGGTGCACGAATTAAAAATATTCCAATATAGTTCAGTAGTCCACAATAGTAGTGGGCTATCCACAGGACTGGCAATGTATGAATCTGTTGACTTGAGCCTTCCACAGCTCTGCATATTAACATGGCTTCACTTTACATATCTTGATTCTACACCTTTCTGCTGAATGGATAAGACCAAGATAAAGCAAGACCTCTATAACAAGAAATGTATCTTTTCTATCTGACAAGGTCAGTCAAGTGCCCTCAGGGTAATGTCTGAGTTTTACCCTATGTTTATTTCTTTTAACAAGGGCCGGGGAGATGGCTCAGTGGAATAAGTGCTTCCCTGGCAAGCACAGGGGCCTGAGTTCAATCCCCAGTTCTGGAAAAAAAAAAAAAAAAGCAAAAAGAAAGAAAAAAGCAAGGCAATTGTGACAGATGGCACAACATGAAACCTGACATTACGCTAACAAGCTAAAGATAAAAGGGCAAATGCTATGATTCTATTTCTTTTAACACCTTGATCCTGGGAAATGCATTCATTTTGTTGATTACCAATAAAACAAAAATATGACAGTATCTCTAGATTCTTCAGAACCTTAAAATGATTTTTTATGACTGGTCCCCTTAGTGAGTCTCTTAGGTACTTTTTCAGTTTCCTCATAGGGATACTAGAATATTTCAGTGGTGAGTCACAAACCGCACTTGGCTACAAGGCAATCATTGCAGGCAACTTGGTTTTGACACTATTTAGGATCGCCTTCATTTAACTTACACAGGTTGTCCTCATTAGGGCTTTCACTTAGAACTGTATTAGAGCACTCATGTACTGTATTTTTAGCATCTTATATAAACTTCTCCCCAAATGCCAATGCCCATTGTATAATCAGCCCAGCAAAGGCTTCCCTCCAGTGCTTAGGAATTTATTGTAGGGGCACAGCAGTGGGTTTGGGAACCCCTGCCCAGTAACAGCAAAAGTTCATGTCCCCGGGGTCAGTCACTGCCACTCTGAACAGGGCTGGGTGTGCACCTCCAAAGGGTGTCTTCTGATACCCCCTTCTCCTTCCCCTGTCTTCCCTTTCTGCCAGTACATAACCATCAGGTGTCACACTGCGGTGGTCCTGAACCTGGGACATTCAGCCTCCTTTTACCCTGTGCAGACCAACTGGTGGGGCTGAGTGCCAGAAGGAGAGTGGGTTCTGGTTCCCCTTTTTCACAGACAGCAAAGGAGATTCATGGTAACCAGGTGACTTCTTTCCAGCCACAGAGGTATAAAGACAGTCAGCACCAAAGGACTCCTTCTAGGGATGGCTTCTATTAAACAAGCAGCTTCTCAGATCTATTTTATTAAGTGTAACACAATGAGAAGGATGAGAGGGTGGTCTCCAGAGCCATCCATGTATCATGTGTAGAAATGCTATTAGCTGTGTGTTCATTATATGAAACTTTATGGTTTACTGTTTTCAATGGATTGAATAGAATGTTACCAACCTGAAATGAGTCAGGAAGTGGACAGGAGTTTGCTGGGCTATTTATTTATTTATTTACATAGGTGCTAAAGATTGAAACCAGGGCTGCAGTAACCATATACTCTACCACTGAACTACACACACAGCTTGATACTTTAAAGTTTACATTTAATCTCTTTTTAAGATTGCAAAAAAAAAAAAAAAAGGTAAAGTCACACATAGCTAAGAGAGAGAGAAAGGAGGTTCAAATACATATCTTCAGCTGATTTGTGTACAAAAAAGGCACTGTTATGTTATTTTTGAAAAAGAGTTTACCTAACTATAACAAGAAAAGTCTTATGGTGGCAGCGGGTGGGAGGGATAAGCAGGTGATAAGCATTTTCCAAATTAGGAAACAGATACGTTTTTCTTTTCACTCTTACATAACTGTTCTATTTTAGAAGACATTAAAAAACTGAAGTGAAATACAAATCTCATGATTTTACTACTTTGTTAGCAAAGAATGACACAAGCAAGTAACGTCTGAAGGGGGGAAAAAAAAGCAAAGAAGAGAGCGTTTGAAAGCATCACGTTCCTCCTGGCACAGAGGCTGCGTTGCAGGATTTCCCCTTTTTCATCACAGCCTGCCTGCTCACTGTGAGTCAGAGACCAGAGTCTAAATTCTAGAAAATGAATGAAGATGAAGATGATCATTCCTCTCTCCTTTGAATTTAAGAAGCAAGCACATCTAAGTGCATATCCCCTTTTGGTGGCCCAGAATGACAGAAGAGTGACCTGAACAGAGTGGTGATGGGTACGCCCAGACCTCCTGAGTCAGAGGGAAACTGCAGCATCAAAGGCCACAGTGGCAGCACAACCTCTTACATAAATAAGTTACATAAATGGGAACAAGTTATGTAAATGTATAAACCAGCAAACATGAATTATAACCATTCACTAACGCCAAGGAGGCTAGAGCAAGACTCTGTCTACAGTCCCCTCCCCCAAGATCATCATAATTGTGCCATTTTATTTCACATCAGAGTCAGATGAAGCTATTTGCCATATTTAGTAGGGAAAGAAACTCCAAAGGACAAATGATCCTTCATAGTATTTTCTGAACCATACATTATACTGTTAAGGGGAAATTCCATAATAAAATCTAATTTAAATGTATGTATGAAAAGAAATACATACATGCTCATTAATTCATTATACTTCCTACATAAGTCTGTGCACATTTATGAAATAGTATTGTACATTTTGCAAGCTGTTGAAGACAAGAATGTATCACAAAGGTTGATGTGCAGTGTATACGGATATTAGTTGTCCCAGTTATGATTTTCAAGTCTCAGGTACGTATGTGGATATCTGACTAAAGTCGTTTTTCATGCTGGCTGAAGAAAGGTAGTCATTTAAGAGGCTAAGGTGAGATTTAAGGTTATGTTCATGAATTGATCCCAAGCTCCCCATTCCAGATGATTAAGAACCACTTCTTGGCTATCACTGCAATTTCCTTTTGATGCACGGTGAATAACAAAGGAGAATGTACAACTCAGGGATAAGAAATTGAGGGCTTTTTCTCAGTCAACCGTTTTTTTTCTGAATTCCTTTGAGATAATATATCTGTATCTTTTTGGAAGTTACAAAATTTGCTCATTGTATAGTAAAAACACATGTAACTCAAAACATCTTTGAGTCTTGCTTGTTCTGCATAAACAGGTATATTACTCAATTTTAGACCAGTTCATTTTGAAAATCTTATGTGTAATATTCCAAAGAAATAAGACGTTTTATTTAACATATATTGTTTCTGGCATTGTAACATAATAGTAGAGGGCTAGAGGTTTTAAAAGCCTTTACATATACTGGCTGTGTGATTTTGGTCAAGTAACTTTCCCTTGCTGTTTCCAAATCTCTGAAAAAGAACCGCAAGTTTTCTCCAGTCGTTTCCTACATTAACAGTCTAGTATCCTAGAATCAAATCTATAAACGCTACATTTTCCACTGAGAGCTTTACACTCGTTGCCGTCGGGATTAAAGGCTATATAACTCATGCATTATATGTGATCCGAATCATTTTCTTTCTAGTCTATGGGCAGAACTGCAGCCCCTGCTTGGGTTGCAGAGACCTGACAGGACGAACATCCTCTTTTCAAAATGCCAATGTACTCGTTCGCTGTGGGCAGCACGTGCAGTGTGCAGAGTGCCCGAGGACCCTGAGGGCTGCCTTCCTCAAGGTGAGGTGGGAGAGTTAGACACTACAGGCAGCACTAACATGCACTAGGAAAAACCTCTTGCCTTTTGGAGGGCAGCCCCTGAAGGGTGGCATGTTTTCTTTCAAATTTGGCCAACTCCAGAGTTGGGTCACAAGGGCATCCCATTAGGCATCCCCAGTCCCTTTGGGCTGTCGGAGCCCACCTGACAACCCGGAAGCCGCACTGGGGAGGTGGGCGCAGGTCCCCACGCCGGGGGCGGCGCAGCAGGCGGGGTGGACAATTTGGGCCAGGTTCCCGCAGGGCGGGCTGCTCGGCAGCGCAGCGCCCACCTCCGAGGCTAAAGGGCGCCAGAACTGGTGGGCGGTGTCCCGCCGGGAGGCGACCAGGGAAATGGGAGTTCCGGGCGCTCTGGGCTTTGTTCAGTAAGAAGCCATGCCCTCTTTTCCGAGAAGCCAATTACGTCGCCGCTGGGATGTCATCTGACCTCGCGTCCCTCGCCAGCAGGGGGTCGGGAGAGAAGGGGCGGGGCGCAGCGGCCGGCTCCC